TATCAGATCCACAACTGCCTCACGAGAGTACGATGCAAATGTTGCAAAATTGCTACTAGAGACATGGGGGTGTTGCAAATGGTAGGGCCAACGTAGCAGTAATTGCGTTGCTAAAAAATGGGCTTCACTAGGGTTGTTTCTTCGTACAGTCCACTTGCGGTGCGTGGTGCCCACGGTAAGAGGCCTTGGAATCAGACCCTGCTTAGCATGTCCGTCACAGACATGCTTTCAAACAGCCTTCACTCATTTTACCCATGGTTGCTTTTGGGGTTTTCACGTGGTGGTCATTTTCCCTTTAGGATAATCTAAAATTTACATCCCTTCAAATTACAAAGGTTAATGATAGAATGCGTTGTGAAGGATGAATTTACAAACTTTGTGATTTATTTTAAGTAATGGTATTTTTGTAAATATTACTATATAACAAGGGGTACTTTTGTTTTATCTAGAAAGTATAAAGTTGAATTTTTTTCTAAAAGATAAGAACACTTAACAAATAAGATTATAGGGCGCAAACTTCCAAAATGTCATTGTACTTTTGTAAAAATTTCAAACTTGCCTTTGTTTAATAATTAAGTTAATTATTAACATAATTTTTTTAACAAATAATAATAATCCTTTTTATAAGTACACACGTCACAACCCCTTTTAATATATATATATGCTATGCCCGTGACGGTTTTGCCTAAAAACCGCCACGGAGCTACAGGAGCCGTGGCGGTCCCCCCATATTTTTTGCTTCAATTTGTGTAAAACAAACCTCGTTATGGACTTGCTATGTTTATGACGAACATGCTAAGTCCATGACGAACATGCTAAGTCCATGACAAACATGCTAAGTCCATGAATCCATGCCGTTCGAAAATATCGATCCACGCCGAGCCTATGGGCAAAAATACTTCTTATTTTTGTCAAGGCATTTTGTAGTCTCTTTCATATACATATATAGATATATGTATGTATGTATGTATATATGTGTGTAGGAACGACCCACTAGCTGACGTCTACAATATAAACCCAATAGACTAGATTAAATCTAGGACGATCCAGTGGTCAGGATTATACTTCATATTTGAATTTTATTTTTTTCTACAAATCTAAATCAATTCAAACTTTGAGAGTCTATTCTTTAAAAATAGGGGAATTTAATAAATGTATCAAAAAATAATTTGTTTAAAATACCCTTGAAAATTTTAGTGGTATTCTGGTCTATTAATTTGTTATGAATTATTATTTTAATATTTTTATTTAGTGCTGCTTGATGAGAAGAATGGATACCTAAAATTTTATTTGATTCCGATTTGTCAAAAAAATATTAAAATTATATTATGAAATGAGGTCATGATCGTTAGATGGGGCCAGATTCAATATGGGCCATTAGATTTACACGATAGCTCTTCCCAGCTTTTCTCGTGTATATATATATGGAAAATATTTATATAAGTTTGCAACCTTAAAATATAAAACTATAGATGCAGTTCAAAAATCCATCAAAAAATATTATTTTAATATTTAAAAACCCTCTAATCGAGCATCTCGAGGTCCAGATGTATATTTATGAAAGAAAAAATGATTTTGAGTCTAAAAAATAGTGCGTCTTACAACACATTATCTAGACCATCCATTTTTCAAATTTTCATATGTTTATAGATCTACTTGATTTTAACCATTTTTGGAGTATAAAATTTTATAATTAGATATGAAAATAGATTTTGAGATAATCCTAAGAATATTTCACTTCAAAATTATATGTTATGATCAAATTTGAAAGCATGCCTTAATTGGATTGTTTAAGGTTGCAACTTTATGGAAACCACACCATATATATATATACACAATTCTTTACAAGTACTACCAATATATATAAAGGAAAAAGTTTATATAAGGATGCTACCTTATAATGTAGAACTATGGATGGCCCTCAAAAATCCATCGGCAAAGGTAGTTTTAACGTTGAAAAACCCTTTGATTGATCATCTTGACATCGAAATGTATGACTATGAAAAATAAAAAGATTTTAAGTCTCAAAAAGATTTCCCTGTGATACCAAATTGGCAGTGCCTCCCTCTTCTCTAAGAGCTCATAACATATATGGCTAGGTGACCTTCCATTACCCAACTTTTCTTCAGATTTTGAACTCGCAACTTCCATTCCAAATTAGGATTTCCTTCTTCTTGCTCTCAGTACCATGGCCCCTCGAAGAGCTATGTAGAATGATAAAAAATCCTAGAAAGCACCTCCAAATAAAGATCCTAAGCTTTACAAGGCCTAACATCCATGTAAAATTTTGGAGAAATGCTAATAGAATCTCGATTAACACCGAAAAAGAGAAACTGTAAAAGAAAAGTAAAAAGTATGGAGAGATTTTAAGATACATTATGAACTACCTTATATTTGATATCTGATGGTTAAAGATGATAGTGATCTTTTTGTACCAAAAGTAAGTGGTTTAATAATAATAATATATTTTTAAATGTTTTATCTTATGGATTTTTAAAACATAAACCGCATTTGTTAAGGGATTACCTATCATTCCTGTTTGTTTTTGCTAGCCCTATCTAATGTGCTTCTTTGAAAATCCCCATGAGTAGCAATAGTAAAAATTTATTGTATATGGCAACATTTCTTGTTATAGTTATCAAGATTTGATTGGACCAGACAATAGTTTTTTGGCTGGTCCAGTTTTGGAACAACAATCAATATTGAAAGAAATTGATCAAAGCGAACATTTGACCAATTTTGATGGGTTAGGACCGGCTAAGCAAAATTTGATATCTTTTTACAATATATTCATATTTTTAAATTATTATTCTGTTTGTTTCTTAAATTTTAATTCTTCAATATCCGATCTATATAATAAAATTTCATACACGAGTTCAATGGTTAAAAGGTGGATCTCTTCTACTAGTGTTGGCCTAAAATCCAAAAGTTAAAAAGAATATATAAAGGAAAATCGTTTGGTGAGTCCAAGCCCGCACCTGTTACTATGCGGGGTTGAAGATTTACACCATCCACCAAAACAGGGTCTTATAAATAATAGCTTTCCAAAGAAAAAGTCCAATCAACGGATCAAATATTTTTTTAAAAAAATATCATTTTTTAATTTTTAAAATTTATTTATTTTTACAGATTAATATTCTTTATGTTAAAAATTATATATTTTCTAAAAAAGAGGATTTGACCCCTGTCCATACCTGTAAAATTAACGGGCCCGTATTTCTCCATACATGTAAAATTGACCTCAAAGGTTTTTACTGGAAGTTCTACACCGTCTACTATTTTTCTTCATTTCAGGAGATTTTATCATCGTGACGTGCATTTTGCTAGCAACATGCCGTTTGTCAGTTTCCACTTTCCACTTTCCATCCATGCAATATGAATTGCTTTATTTCTAAGTTTTTTATATTAAGTTTTTGGATTTGGCATTTGGCATGTACTGTGCCTTTTGTCATTACTTGATTTCCACTTTTCATACATGCAAATGTAATAATGCTTCTATTTTAAATTTTGATATTCAAGTATCATACGGTTCAAATCGTCTTATCCCCCAGGCTAGATATTTTTGCCTATTAAATGGACTGTGAATCTCTCTAGTGTTGTAAAGCTTTATTGTTCACCTATAAATCTATGTTGGATCGTTCTATCGATGATATTTACAACATGTGGATGAGTTAAAATTGGTGATCTAATAAATATTAAAAATAAAAGGTTTATAGAATGAAGATTGAAATTTGACAAAAAAAAAAAATACCAGGCAAACTTAAAAAATGGAAAAACTATAACAATCTGATTTAGGAGAAACTAAATCGAGACCTATATCATTCCAGAAACAAATATTTTATCTAGATGAAAAAAAAAATATAATATGATCATTTACTCTTAATATAAGGTGATCACAAATAACATTGACCATTGGATGTGAAATTTGTTGTTGCATTTATCTTATTGATCAAGCTTAAAGTTCAAAATAAATTTTCTCACACTTTGTGATACACCCAAGCTCTCATATTTCACATCAAATAATTATGAATAATTGTTACTCCTTTTATCAAAGATAAATAGTTTCATTATATACAACCTGGATAAAAAATCATCAGAAAGGAAAAAATTTATATAGAGCCGATGCTCTAAAAAATCAAAATAGAACCCATATAAAAAATTTCAGTTGAAGAAGTTGTTTTGATTTCCAAATATCTTCAAGTTGATCATCTCGATATCAAGAGGAAATAGTGTATCTTGTAACGTATTTTTGGACAGTTAATTTTTAAGATTTTCAAGTTTTCACATATTTGCTCTCTCTATGCTATGTTTGATGTTTTAAAATTTATAATTCAAGATGAAAATATCAATATTGAAACCATATTTCTCGACACTATTTGAAAGTGTGTTTTACTTTGATTCTTTAAGGCCTCGGCTGCACCCAATTTTAAAACACTATTACATCACCCAATGTCCAATGATCGATATTTTTGGCCAAAGATATTGGACATTTTAGGCTTTAAATAATCAAAGAAAAGCCTACCTTCAAATAGTAATGAGATTAGAAATCTTTGTGATATCCTTGAAATATATTTTCTATCTCTAATTATAAAATTTAAAGTTTAAAAAATAATTTAAATCAAGCATATCTATAAGAACTTAAAAATCTTAAAAATTGACCGTCTAAAAATACATTAAAAGATCACCATTTTTTCTTATATCTATATAAGATGGACAATTTGAAGATATTTGGGTATTAAAAAAAACTGAAATTTCTTGAGTCGGCTCTAATTAATTTTTAATAGAGATTCGCTCTAATTTGATTGTTTAGAACCTCGGCTCGACTTTTTCTTTCTTACCATTAAACGGCATTCAACATTTGTAGCTGTATATGTGTCAACCAGTAATACCAGATATTTGCATTTCGAAGGCGAATCGTGAGCCGTTCATGCCCTATCTTCCTTCCACGCGTACTCCCCTCCTTCCATCTTCACCTTTATCACCGTATTTAAGTGGACTTGCCCCCTCCTACTTTCCCATCCGGACTCTCTCTCTCTACGGTTTCTCTCTCTAAATCACCGCCTTGCAGGCTTTAATGGCTTCCATGGCTACTTCTCTCTCCACCCATCTCTCTCCAGCCGCCAAAGACCTCTGCAAACTCACCTCCTCCTCCTCTGTTATACATGGCGTTCCCCTTCGCCTCAACTACCTCAAATGCTCCTCCTCGCTGTCGGCCTCCTCCCTCAGTGTCTCTGCGAAATACGATCTCAAGGACTTCAAGTTCGAGCCCATAAAGGAATCGATCGTCTCTCGCGAGATGACCCGCCGCTACATGATGGACATGATCACCTATGCGGACACGGATGTCGTTGTGGTTGGGGCTGGCTCTGCTGGTCTCTCGTGCGCGTACGAGCTGAGCAAGAACCCTAATGTGCGGGTGGCCATCGTGGAGCAGTCGGTGAGCCCTGGCGGTGGTGCCTGGCTCGGTGGCCAGCTCTTCTCGGCCATGGTCGTGCGCAAGCCCGCTCACCTCTTCCTTGATGAGCTCGGTGTCGATTACGATGAGCAGGACAACTATGTTGTCATCAAGCATGCTGCGCTCTTCACTTCCACCATCATGAGCCGCCTTCTTGCTCGCCCTAATGTCAAGCTTTTTAATGCGGTGGCGGCTGAGGACCTGATTGTGAAGGAGGGGAGAGTGGCAGGCGTTGTGACGAACTGGGCTTTGGTGAGCATGAACCACGACACACAGTCTTGTATGGATCCGAATGTGATGGAGGCGAAAGTGGTAGTGAGCTCATGCGGGCACGATGGTCCTTTTGGGGCTACAGGAGTGAAGAGGCTGAGAAACATTGGCATGATTGAGAGCGTCCCCGGGATGAAGGCGCTGGACATGAACGTCGCAGAGGATGCGATTGTGAGGCTCACCAGGGAGGTTGTGCCTGGGATGATCGTCACCGGCATGGAGGTTGCAGAGATAGACGGATCCCCTAGAATGGTGATTTAGCATGAATCTGTGTTTTTTTAATTAATTTTCAATTTGTGGTTATTGAGATAAGAATTGAGAATATTGGGGTATTTGGTGTTGCAGGGTCCTACTTTCGGAGCGATGATGATATCGGGGCAGAAGGCGGCGCACCTGGCTCTTAAGGCGCTGGGCTTGCCGAACGCTGTAGACGGGACTTACAGCCTGGGCGGCGTGCACCCAGAGTTGGTGCTCGCATCCTCGGCCGAGGGTGAGACTGCCTCAGCCTAAATTCCATCTTCCACAAACCGCAGAATCCCCTTTTCATTATCTTCTTGTTTTGACCTCCTTTCCCCCTCTCTCTTGCTGCTGTGTTTTTGGAGTTTAGGGTTACGGAATAAGGTGGTGGACATATACTCTCTAGATTTTGTTGCTATGCTATATCCTTTTAAGGGTCTTACTCTGTTACTCTTGAGGGCTTCTCTTTCATCCTCTCTTTTTCTTGCAATTCTCGGTTAACAACATATTGGGATTTACCCGTGGATGAGTTTCATTCTGTTAAATGAGATAAATATCGGGATAGAGATGCGGTGATATTTACTGGTTTGGTGCTCATATTTTTATTATTTGGGGAGTGCAGGGAGAGGAGAGAGATACGCCAGGTTATTATTCGGATTCGCCATGGTAAATAGGGGTGGCAATGGACCCGGTCCCGGGGCCCGAGGGTATACCTAACACAGGTGGGGTATTGGTCTGGCATTGGGCCTGGCCGGTTGGGTATGGGTCCTAGTTTGTGACCCGAACATTATCCGGGTCAGACTCGGACTCGAACCCGTACTGGACCTGGGCCATCAATAGTTAGAGATAAATACTTGCATTCCAGCCCTGATCATTTGTGTGTATTAAGGATATAATTAATTGGGTGAGGTTGTATAGAGGCAAGGCTCTAAACAATCAAATTTGAGCCTACCTTCAAATAGTATCGAAAAATATGGTTTCAGTGTTTAAAAGTTTTATGATAGCTTTCAATTATATTTTCATTTTTAGTTATAAAATTTAAAGCTTAAAAAATAATGTAGATCGATCAAATTTATAAGAACTTGAAAATCTTAAAAATTGAAGGTTGAAAAATACGTTACAAGTGGCCCTATTTTCAAAACTTGAAATTCATTTTTTTTTCTTATGTTCACGCATCTTGATGTCGAGATGATCAATTTGATGAGATTCGAGCATCAAAACGACCTATTTTAATAAATGTTTTGAAGTAGGCTCTAATTTGATTGTTTAGAGTTTAGGCTCTATATAAACTTTTTTCTAATTAGAATTAATAGGTATTAAAATAAGAGCTTAATGTGGTTTTAATATTAGAAATTTTTGTGATTGCTTTAAAATGTACGAGAGTAAAGCTTCAAAAGTAGTGTAGATCGACCGATCTAAGAAAACTTGAAAATCTTGAAAATCTTGAAAATTGACGGTGCAAAAATATATTACAAAGTATACTATTTCCAAAACTTGTTATCTTTTTTTTTATTTTTTTCATGTTCATGCATCTTGATGTCGAGATGATCAATTTGAAGATATTTAAGCATCAAAACAATATCTTCTAGTGAAATTTTTGATGTAGGCTTTGAGGTAGGCTTAAATTTGATTGTTTAGAGCCTCTGCTCTATATAAACTCTACCTTTAATGTAATTCATTTGGGTGTATTAAAGAACGAATGTAAATAGAATTAAAAGTCACCTTTAGCTATTTTTAATGGAGCGTGATTGTGTGGAAAAACCCGGTGATCTAACCGGTAACTGCCCGGTTAGATTGGAAGTGGCTATTGGGTGGTTTCGGTTTTTGTGATTAATGGGTGGTTTCGGTTTTTGTGATCGATTGGTATTTAAAAATAAAAAAATGTATATAAAATTTTAAACGTAAAGAATTTAGTTTGTAATGTATTTTTTAATAGTTTTTACATTATGAAAAAGATTAGAAATTGTTTTGATCATTAATACTTATTTTTATATTTTTTGTCTTTTTAAAAAAAAATTAAAAATACATTTAGGCAATTTTTAAAGGAAAAAATTTATATAGAGCCAAGGCTCCAAACAATCAAATTAGAGCCTACTTCAAAAATTTCATTATAAGAGGTTCTTTTGATGTCCAAATATTCTCAAATTGATTATCTCGACATCAAGATGCATGGACATGAGAAAAAAAAATATTTCAAATTTTGAAAATAATGCATTTTATAACACATTTTTTTACCTTCAATTTTTACGATTCTCAAGTTTTCATGAATTTGCTTGATCTATACTCTTTTTGAAGTTTTAAATTTTATAATTAAAGATAAAAATATATCTTCAGACAATCACAAAAATTTTCAATATTGAAATCATATTTCTCGACACTATTTGAAGATGCCCTATACTTTTATTGTTTAGAGCCTCGGCTCTATACAAACTACACCTTTCTTTAAAATATATTTTTTAATTTCATCTTAATGTGTTTTATTTGAATCATTTTTATATGTTTTCTTATATTATAGTAGATTTTGTGTTTATATTTTTTTTGTATTTTTCAACATTGTTTTGATTGTCTAAAACTTGTTTGGTTAGAACGGTTCAATCGGCCAGTTTATCGGTTAGGTTGGTTAAACCGCTTTTTGGCCCCTTGTCCAGTTAACCGTTCCGGTTCAATTTTTCCAACACCACTTTGTTGTCAATGATCCGATAATACGGGTAACAATCCGTTGCTACCCTTATGTGGTAACCGTGTCTCAAGTTTCTCTGAAGAGACACGGTGTCCGTTAATCATATGAATTTACAGATTTGTCTTTTATAGATAAATTACGAGTGACAATAATAGCAATTAAATCATAGATAACTAAACCATGCCTAAACTTTTAATAAAGTACATATACTCTATTAACCCTTCCCATAAATATTGATTGCAATATATAGTTTTTATATTAACCCGATACATATTTTCACACTCTCTCTCAAACTCAAGATGCGAGAGAGAGCAGCTGGAGTTTGAACACGAATTGCGGAAATGAGCAGTTGTATCTTCAAGTGCATATTCTGATTGCTTGATTAATAAGCACCAAAAGCAGCGGCGAATCAACAAGCCTCGAGAGCAGATGGCTTCAGGAACTCTCGGAAAAGATCAAATAGATCGGAATGAACATAACTAAGATAAATCTGGCTCTGATACCATGTGAATAGTCTCCAGTTTTTTTGAAGAGACACAGTATCCATTAATCGTATGAAATGTACATATTTGTCTTTTATAGACAAATTACAAATGACAATAACAAAAACTAAATAATATATACTTAAACCATACCTAAACTTTTAATAAAGTACATATACTCTATCAACCCTTTCCAGAAATACTGATTGCACTATATACTTTTTATATTAATCCGATATACAATATACACTTTCCTTTCACAACCGAGTGCTGCAACGAGAATATTCGAATCCTCTAGGGTATTTCTGGGCTGGGATTTATGGAACTGTTGATGTGCTAAACAACACGGTTTCTACGAGTTCGTGTAGAAATAAGTCCCCTCTTAAAATCTATTCAAAATTTATTTTTGAGACATGGAGATCATCAATATGAATAAATAAATAAAATTTTAAAATTAGAAATAACAATTTTATTAAAAAAGTATTTGGACCATTAGTTTCAATTATTTTTAAATGGACAACTATTTGCATCCATTTTAAGATAGATATGTAAAAATGCAGTTCATCCTATATGAAACAATTTTCTTTTACTAACTCTAAGCGGCTTATTATCCCCTCAACAAAAGATGAAGTTTCTATAAGGCTTAGGCTTTATGAAAATACAATAGAGCCTCACCTTAAATCTTCCACTGGAATAGAGCCTCACCTTAAATATTCTTCTGGAAAGCACTTTTGGCCACAAAGAGGCTCTAAAATCAATTTCCAGCAGTGACAAGAAAAAATTTAACACTAAAATATTTAAAGCTAAAAAAAGGTACATATTTTGTGGATTTATGAACATTTATTTTTTAGGGCGAAATAGATGGTCTAGATAATTTGTGACGATATTCACTATATTTAGAACTTGAAATATTAATTATTTTTTTAACAATCAAAATGTTTAAGCCATGAAAATCAATATTTCAGCTGGAATTGCAATTTTTGATGAGTTATGAGATGAGACTTTACTTATTAAAGGTGGCAATAGCCCGGCCCTGACCCATTCATTGTCCTCATAGGGCCGCTTTGATGGGGCTTAAACAAAAAAAAAAAAGCTGAGCAGGTGCTGGCTCTAGCGTTGAGGCCACAATTTCTAATTTCTACTGTATGAAGTATCATATTTGACCCTTGCAGTTGCACAATAAGACTCCATTGGGGTTGATCCAGGCCTGCTTGGGCTGATCTAGGCCAGAAGTAGACCAACATCAAGGTAACCCATTGAAACATTTTGGTATTGCTCCTGGATTACAAGAAAAAGAAGGAACCGGAGCATATGGAACCATATCATTATCTTTCTGTAAAGAAAAAGATGGTGGACTAACTGATATTTCCATCAATCGATGAAAGAGCCCAATGCAAAAGCAAACAAAGTGCATGTTGGGTTTTTGAAACAGTTCGAATCACTTTGATAATAATCAGTTTGATCTCTTTTATCAAGAAAGTCTACTATTTGAGTCTGTATAGCCCTATACATTTATAATTTGTTTTGGTTTTGTACCTATTTATGTCAGACAATCCTAGATGAACGGTTGGGCTATAACATATAAACCAGTCCCACATGCTCCTCCAATTTTCTTAGGGACATGAAAATGACAAGGAATAATTCATTCCAATTATCTCTTCTTTATATTTCTTTGATTTTTATTCGTCAATTAAATCTTCATGGATGAATTAGTAGATGTGCTTAGATACAATTTTTTCTTCTTTTCTTGTCGAAGATCAAAGAGTTATTGGTACACCTTTGGTATACCCAATCGAGTAAATTCATGAAGGCAAAGTCAAAATAAATAGCTATATATCATGCACGAGTCTGACCTAAAAACTCCAACCCGACCCAACAAATTGAATCTAAATAAATATCTAATAGACTAATAATATATATTAGATTAATATTGATTAGATTAGATAGAAGATCAAAATAATCTCAAATCTATTCAAAAATCTATTGAAAATTAGATGGAATATCAAATTCTTAATAAGATATAGCAATATCAAAATTTTCAAATTCTATTAACTATTCAATTGAAATTAGAAATCTGATATTTCATTTCATATAGAAATTAAATAACAAATAAATAGATTGAAAATAAAATTTAAAATCAATAGAAAATAGAAATATGATATATATGTAGATAAATCTATGAAGTTAAATAAAAGTCAATAAAAAAATCGACTAAATAGTCGCACAGACCCAGAACACAGTCTTGGGCTTGTGAAAAACTGGTGTTTAAAAAATGAAACTTACGAAAGAATTTTATTGTTAATATGGGGATTTTTATTCGTATAACCAGCCAAGTAAGGCAAGTAGTATTTTTATGTTTATGTACAATTACAAAAAAAGAAAAAAAAAAAAGAAAAAAGAAA